AATGTCCGAAATCACCGAAGCTATCGTTTTTAGAAATATTGCAGTAATTTTAACAATAATCATTGGATTTTAACTTTCGATGCATTTTGGCATAGCCGGAGAAGGGGCACATAGCTACGCTACTTTTGATTTTTGATTTTCGGCAAATCTTCGCAGATATTAGGCGCTAAATTTAGAAAATTTAAATTTTTACAAAAAACTTTTTTATTTATGAATATTTTTTAGTCGTGTTTTACACAAATATAACGAGTCCTCTGACTTGGGCAAAAATGTGAAATTTTTTTGTCTCGGTAATTTTCCTTGGCCCCCATTGGCTAATTCAGTTTTTCAGTCCTAGATTAATTATTTATTGTTCGATTTGTATAAAACAAAGTTCATATGTCCGTTGTCTCAATTGTCATTTTTTTTGTTACCAATAGTGTTATCTGTCGGCACCGGAAGTGGCGTAAATTGACAAAAAACTACAATTTTGACAGTTAGGTACCATTTTTCGAAAGCAAATATTATTTTTTTCAAATCTGGTATAACTGAAATTGTGCGCCCTTTAAAGGCGCACAAAATGTTGGGACCAGTTTTTTTAATTTCGATTCCGTTTTCGGGCTATTTCGATTAAAAGGTGAAAAAAGGTGTAAAATTAAGCTATTTACAACCCATCCAGCGTTTTCATATTTTAAAATATTACTTCGTAACTTTCATAAACTCGTAGCAATAATCTATACGGAGAGAATGTATGTGAAAATTAATTTGTAATATGCGCAGTTGCCGAGAAATGGGCAATTATGCATGAGTCACTTTTTACGCTACTTTGCCTGTAAAAGAGTCAATTATTATTCGATTTTCATAAAAGTGACACCATTTGATGTGTAATGTCAATTTTAACTAGGTCAAACCAATTTAACATTTTCAATATCACCGGAAATGACGTAATTTGGGCAAAAATTGTATTTATAGCCTTCGAAACCAGTAATTTATTCAAATGAGTCATATTTGTTATTTGTTTAAAATTTTGATATTTGATTCAAATCAACTAATACAATGAACCCTTACGATCATATAGATATCACAAAATGGTTTCTAACTTGTTCAGTTGCGGAGAAATAGGCAATTTTCAACAGGTCACTTTTTAAGGTTTTTTGTCAATAAAAGTGTCAATTATTATTCGATTTTCATGAAATTTTCACTGTGTGATACATAATGCCATTTACGATTTCATACAAGTAATATAAGATTTTCATTATCACCGGGAGTAACGTCATTTTGGCAAAAACTGTATTTTTAGCCTTCAAAACAGATATTTTATTCAAATGAATCAGATTTGTAATGTTTTTTAAATTATGATATTTGATTCCAATCAACAAATAGAATAAACTCATTCGATCATACAGATACCTCAAAATGGTTTCTAACTTGTACGGTTGCAGAGAAATAGGCGATTTTCTACAAGTCATTTTTCAAGGTTTTTGGTCTATAAAGGTGGCAATTATTATAGGATTTACATAAAATTTTCACCATGTGATGATGCTATTTCTGATTTCATAAGCCAATTTAACATTTTCATTATCACCGGAAGTAATGTAATTTTGACAGGATCACTGACATGTAGCAAATGAATTGATTGCTGGATTTGGTTGTTTATTTCATGTGTGCAATGCTTATGTGGAAACCTGTTTAACGGTTTCATTGGTACCGTAAGTGACATAAGTTCAAGGGTAACGTGGCACCGGTGAAACCCGTCATTACTGCTTCGCAGTTCTAGTTCTTATTATTATTATTATTCTTCTTTTGTTTTGAGTAGATCTCAGCAACTGATTGTCGGATCGTTACGATTTCTTCGGTTTTATCGGAAAAGTGGGTGTGACTTAGAGGATAAAGCTATTTTGAACGTTCTGCGACAATGCGAAATGTCCGAAATCACCGAAGCTATCGTTTTTAGAAATATTGCAGTAATTTTAACAATAATCATTGGATTTTAACTTTCGATGCATTTTGGCATAGCCGGAGACGGGGCACATAGCTACGCTACTTTTGATTTTTGATTTTCGGCAAATCTTCGCAGATATTAGGCGCTAAATTTAGAAAATTTAAATTTTTACAAAAAACTTTTTTATTTATGAATATTTTTTAATCGTGTTTTACACAAATATAACGAGTCCTCTGACTTGGGCAAAAATGTGAAAATTTTTTGTCTCGGTAATTTTCCTTGGCCCCCATTGGCTAATTCAGTTTTTCAGTCCTAGATTAATTATTTATTGTTCGATTTGTATAAAACAAAGTTCATATGCCCCGTTGTCTCAATTGTCATTTTTTTTGTTACCAATAGTGTTATCTGTCGGCACCGGAAGTGGCGTAAATTGACAAAAAACTACAATTTTGACAGTTAGGTACCATTTTTCGAAAGCAAATATTATTTTTTTCAAATCTGGTATAACTGAAATTGTGCGCCTTTTAAAGGCGCACAAAATGTTGGGACCATGTTTTTTAATTTCGATTCCGTTTTCGGGCTATTTCGATTAAAAGGTGAAAAAAGGTGTAAAATTAAGCTATTTACAACCCATCCTGCGTTTTCATATTTTAAAATATTACTTCGTAACTTTCATAAACTCGTAGCAATAATCTATACGGAGAGAATGTATGTGAAAATTAATTTGTAATATGCGCAGTTGCCGAGAAATGGGCAATTTTGCATGAGTCACTTTTTACGCTAGTTTGCCTGTAAAAGAGTCAATTATTATTCGATTTTCATAAAAGTGACACCATTTGATGTGTAATGTCAATTTTAACTAGGTCAAACCAATTTAACATTTTCAATATCACCGGAAATGACGTAATTTGGGCAAAAATTGTATTTATAGCCTTCGAAACCAGTAATTTATTCAAATGAGTCATATTTGTTATTTGTTTAAAATTTTGATATTTGATTCAAATCAACTAATACAATGAACCCTTACGATCATATAGATATCACAAAATGGTTTCTAACTTGTTCAGTTGCGGAGAAATAGGCAATTTTCAACAGGTCACTTTTTAAGGTTTTTTTGTCAATAAAAGTGTCAATTATTATTCGATTTTCATGAAATTTTCACTGTGTGATACATAATGCCATTTACGATTTCATACAAGTAATTTAAGATTTTCATTATCACCGGAAGTAACGTCATTTTGGCAAAAACTGTATTTTTAGCCTTCAAAACAGATATTTTATTCAAATGAATCAGATTTGTAATGTTTTTAAAATTATGATATTTGATTCCAATCAACAAATAGAATGAACTCATTCGATCATACAGATACCTCAAAATGGTTTCTAACTTGTACGGTTGCAGAGAAATAGGCGATTTTCTACAAGTCATTTTTCAAGGTTTTTGGTCTATAAAGGTGGCAATTATTATAGGATTTACATAAAATTTTCAACATGTGATGATGCTATTTCTGATTTCATAAACCAATTTAACATTTTCATTATCACCGGAAGTAATGTAATTTTGACAGGATCACTGACATGTAGCAAATGAATTGGTTGCTGGATTTGGTTGTTTCTGTGTCCATTTTATTTCATGTGTGCAATGCTTATGTGGAAACCTGTTTAACGGTTTCATTGGTACCGGAAGTGACATAAGTTCAAGGGTAACGTGGCACCGGTGAAACCCGTCATTACTGCTTCGCAGTTCTAGTTGTTTCTGTTAAGATTATTATTGTTATTTTTTTTTTGTGTTTTGTCCACAAATCGGATTTCTCAGAATCTAACCATAGGATCGTTCTGAAACTTTTACCTATCCCCCCAAAAATGGGTGGTGGCTGTTGATTAAATATATTTTCAAAACGTTTTACGAATCCGAAATCACCGAATTTTACGAAGGAATGCATTTGACCTACAATGCTGTAACTTTGTGACTATTTGACCTATTTTACTAATTCTTTTTTCTTTGAGTATCTTGAAACATTTACTTCAAATCTGCAATTTCGGATTTTGGCATTTCGAAAATTCGTCGCTGTCATTTCGAACCGGAAGTTATTACCAATTTGACAACTTCTTTAATAGTTGTGCGATTTTCGTGAAATTTAGAATGTTAGTAGATCTTGCCAATGCGACTTCAATGATGTCCTTGGAAATTTTCTAAATTATCTCCCCTTGGTGAAATTAAGGATCAAAGTTTTCAAAAAAATCGTCGAAATATAGGTCAGAATGACCTAAAAAAAAAATTCGATACTAGACAAGTAATTACTGATTCGAACACAAAATATGGAGTTTGTCGATCGAACCGGAAGTGCCACCATCTTTAAACGTGAAAAATCAAAAAGGCTTTTTTGCTATTTTACTTACAGACTCGGGCGTCATATTTTCGGAATCCTGGAAGGAATGCCTAAAAATCTATCGGATCAGAATTTTGATTTCGGTCACGTGATGGTCACCATTTTGAATTGAAAATGAAAAATAGAAGCAATTTGAAGGGCCGGGACTTTGGAACACAAGAACTCTCCTTCTAATTAAGCTAGAATGTTCAAACTTGGTGTAGGCGTTCACTAGGTCAATGTCATGATTGAGTTCAAAGATGAGCATTTTTTGCCTAGGGTAAGCAGAGATAAGCAAGCTGATTTGTTGATTCTTTAGGGCACGATGACATTGGTTATAATGAATGGAGGGCGATGAAACTCTTGTCAATCGAGAGGCTAATAGCTGGCCTGTTGTGTGAAATCATTGTATCATTTTTTGAAAATGTCCGGGGTAGCCGAAAAAAGGAGATCGAAATCCAAAAAGTCGTATTTTTACGATTTGGGGCATTTTTAGAGGTCGTGTAAAGTAAAATAAAGCATGCATATACATATATTATTGATATTAAATATATCATATAAAAAACTAAACAATGAATCAGCTGTCATTGACCTGAAAAGAAAGAAAGAAAAAAAGAGTATCTGGTCTTACAGCTAATCTGGGATTATTTCGTCTGAGACAAGGAACAGTGGGGGGGGGGGGATGGTGGCAAAAAAAAAATAACTTAAATAGAATGAAAGATATAATTAAAATAAATTGGATAGAGTCAGGTAAGAATAGTAGTAGGCATAAGGTTCAAATAAAGCATAGTATATTTATAAATACATTTTATAATTCTTTATTTCAAATCCATTAAGGGTGATATAAATTTATTCGTCCGGGATTTATTTGACTCGCGCTGTTATAAAGCGTAGGGAAATAACTGGTGATTGGTCACCATGGGCCAATCAGGAGCTCGTATTGTGAACTGCTGACCCGACCTTGAAAGTTGTAAACAACAACACACATGTGTAATGGCTGCGCCCATGAAAGAACGTGAATCGACTGATATTTCATCAAATTTACGCTGTATTATTCATTACCAAGGATTTAGAAAGGAACGAGAACAATTATTTACAAAATCTCGCTGGGATAAATTCCGTGAATGTGCCCATGAATGGCTAAAACTTGATGGGCGAGCGAAATGGATAGCTGAACAGGCGACTTCGGGTGATATAATCAAACAAGGAATTTATCGACGCGCCAAAAGATACTGGATTTCACCCAACATGCTACAGGCCTTTTACAGACAAATTCCGAATTGGGTCTGCCCGTAATCGTATAGATAAAGAAAAATTAAAATCCCCGGCTACAATCCAACCAGGGAATAGCGGGAGTGTAGACGATCTGGGACCTAGCTCTCCAAACAAATTACGCTCCTGAAGCAAAAAGAAAGAGTAAATCGGTGCTGCCTGTTGTTTGTATTATATGTAAAAAACGTGACAGATTTGTCACTGTTGGAGAAAATAGGAAGAAGGATGTATTAACACAGACTCAGACCCAAACAGGCTCAGGTAGGCCTAATGTTAATATTATGTTACTTACTAAATTTATAATTATTACTAATAAATATTAAATATATTCATCCTACAGTTTTTAATTATTGTGTTGTTGTTTTTGTTGTAAATGGAATCAGAAGTGCTACTGCAATCACTGTAAAATTGTTATGAAGCTAGCCAGTAAAGCCCTTTACCCCATTTGTTGATTTGGCACAGTCATTGGTTAAAGTGTTGCACATTTGCTTGCACAAGGGATGAAACATAGAGAAGTTAACTTGTTTTTTATTTTCTTGGCCCACTTGTAGGTGCCTTGCTAAGACGATCTGTCTCTAGACCATTTCCGCTCACACAAAGGATCTGAACTAAACCGCATGCCAGAGTTGACCAGCCAGGTACATGTACATGTAGGCCTCAAAGTGACATTCCCTCCCCCACCCTTGAGCACAAACAACATTCAACGCTATATGGTGTATAATTTGTTTGCAAATTTGTTTGTAGGCCAACTGTTGAAAGCTGCTGAATTGAAAGAGGATGAAGATATTTTAAGGCATATCAGAGGGCAAGATTGTGTGGCCATTGAGGTCAGATATCACCAAAAATGTTATAGGCAATATACATGTACTGAATTTCTTAGACAGTTATCAGAAAGGTAAATATTTGTGATGTTTTTTTTATTTGTATTCTCCGCCTTCTTGCCACTGGTATTATTCAAATAAAACTGAACCATGGGTGAGTCCTGAAATTACTATGTTTTTGTCCAGTGGACGTTAAACCGCAATTCTCCCCTCTATCTCTCCTTGTACTGCTAATGCCTTCCTGTCTTCATTAGCTGGTTTCTGCATGAAAATAAGATGTTAACCCCTGTGTAAGTGTCTTTTTCCTCTGTTGTACGAAATTAATGAGAGTAAACCAAGCTCCAGAATTTTGTTTTAATTGTGTACATGTATATGTTTATTTATATTTTTCAGCAAAGATGACTAGCCCTCCGTCGAATATTAAACCACATACAATATATTCTGTGAAGATGTCATAAGAGAAAGAATCATAAATGGCCAGCAAAGTTGTCTTGTACAGAGGGAGAGAAATGGGGTTTAACGTCCACTCAACACAAACTAGGTCATTTTGGGACTAACATACGGTTTCAATTTTATTTCAATAATTCGCTTGCACGTATGGGTCTTTAGCAGTGAGAGGAAACCGGAGTGCCCGGAGGAAACCCACGAGGTTGAGAAGACGCCTCTATCTCCATGCCACATACGCTCACACCTGGGATCAAAGCCACAGCCACAAGCCAGAGGTGACCGACCAGCTAGAGGTCGAAGCGCGGCACTCTAGGCCATCCCAACCCCCCTTTCTTGTACAGACCTGTGCATGTGTAGTCAATGTGAAAATGAAAAAAAAACTGTTAAAGAGACCGAATTTGATGTTAATACATTTAGTGACAGTGATGATGATAATGAAGATTAACTTTGATGACATTTGATGTGCAGAGTAACTGTTTAATTTTGATTTTCAATGATTGTTTCACTTTAATAAATAATTTCACAACTGTTCATCCTGTTTTCTAACCTTTCCCTTCATTCCAGCCCAGATACACAATTATTTTTTTTAACTTATATCTACATGTATGTTTGTAATTTGACCATTAATCATATCCGAAATAGTAGTTCACAGCTACATGTACAGTTGTAAAAATACTGTAGTGGCTAATTGAAAGGGAACATGTATGTGGGTTTAGAATGTTTATCTTAGTGGAAAAAAATCATGTGGTTCAATGCTTATAAAGTGCTACTGATCTCCATTATTTCAAAAGCATATCACTCAACTACTGTCAAACATATCCCCTGGCTAGAATATGCTACAAATCGGCTCTAGCATGTTCCATACAAGCGATAATTTCTGAGCAAACATCCAACAACCAACCCTAACAGGCCCTTGAGATCCAACAAACAAAATAATTATTGGGCTTGTTTGCCCACACCTGGTCTTATGATTCATACAAGACCTGATAGTCTATCAATTACAGGCATTTGACAGAAAGGGAGATAATTCTTTTTTACCGTTAATGGATTTCCACAATTCTTTATTCACCCATGACATTTGTGTTTTGAGCATTTTTATTTACATCAAAATCTGTCCAATAAACTGTTCATTGCCAAGGATGAAGGCATGAGGTGTTTTACCAACTATTTAATTTTATGTCAACTTCAGAATTGTTAGTACACAAATAGCATTTATTTGACAATTTTGACGAATTTCATCTGGCCCTAAATCAATAAATTGCAAACATTTTGCTTGGAACTCCCAGATTTTGTCTTCCTGGCATCATAAGCTTTCCAAAAGTGTATAGTTTTTCTTTTATGGAAGACCGTGTAGCGGAGTTGTGTTTCTAAGCTAGCTAGAAATTTTGGCTGCAGGCCTACACCTCCCAAGCTAAATTTCCCTCATGTCATCCTGTATAGCAAAGGCATATGCCTGTCTTAATTAACCCAGTACTAAACACAATTTACTTGTTTAATTTTTCCAGCATTTTTCAGGATAGCTGATGGGATGCGGGTCAAGTTATGCCACTTTACCAGTGAAAAATCGAATTAACTTCACCAAATTTTTACTCATTATAATGATTTTTTTTTTTCTGTTCATATTATTTCTATGACATGTGACAGTGACTGTGAATATGAAAGCTTTAATATCTGCTTAGCAGATCTAGTTATTATTATTATTATTTACCGCGGGAGCGTTTTTCTCCATGATCGAAAACAGATATCGATCTGGGGTTCAATTTTCTCTGGGAAACCATGTGGTGGTTACTCGAAAAAGTATTTTTGAAACTTATGCGCAGACCGGAAGTGGCCGAATTTTGAACGGCAGCAATAAATGAAAAATCGGCCGTGGTTTCGCCAATTCTTTACCTATTTTAAAACATTTCACATTTTTGGAAACCCAGAATCTTTTCCGAGACAATGGCACGCTCACATTTTTCAATTTCGAACATTCATCTATGGCTTTTGTCGTTCGAAATTTGAAAATACGTTGTTTAGGAGACAATTTTTGTAATTTTTCAAAATTTTCAAATATGACCTACATTTTTGGATACCTGAAGGCAATCCGATTCCAGTAATATAACTTTCATTCAGAGTTATCACCCTTTAGTTTTCGAATTTTTTCGAATTTTCTGCCCATTTTGTGTGCCCGAATTTCGTTTTACGGCCGAATTGACGTTTCTGAAACTAATGGAACATGAAGTTATAGTCCAAAACCAACTGATAAAACTATTTCGACAAGAATCCTTAAATCGGAAGTGGTCGACAAAATGTCCGATATTTTGATGAAAACGCAAAAAATGGGTGCTTTTGGGAAAAACATGATTTCTTCACCCGATATCAACGGATTAAAGAAATTAAGGTATCGTTGGGTAGCCCGGGGATTCGACTGTCATATGGTACCCATTTCACACGGAACCTATGTGAGATCAGCAAAATATGACATTCTGAAAATCAGGTATTTTCTGATTTGGAGCGTTTTTGGACGCCTGTATCTCGAAAACTGCTCCAAGGATTTTTTTAAAACTTTCCCTATCGAGAGTCCCTCCGGTAGTCTTGTACATGTATCCATCCAGTAAGACATTGAAATTTCTGGAATAGGTAAAATAACGTACTAAAAATCGTGAAATTTTAGAAAATGCTCTATTTCTTTATTATTGAAAATAAAAATTACAAAAAAATTACATATTCAGATAGCTGACGTAATTACGATTCTAACGATGTATAATATGTATTGAAATATTTAAATTTAATTTTCGATATATTGACATTTTTGCATTTTTGGCACTATTGAACATAGGATTTCCCAGGGGTATTTTATCTGATCAGACAATGTAATATATCATTACATAGCTCTGTGGCTATTTGATAAGCCAATCCGGTTATTAAAACTATCCCGACAATAATCTCCATACCGGAAGTATGCAAAAAATGGAACAAAAGGTTTTAAAAAATAGCGCTCTAGCGAAAAACTTGATTTCTCCATCAGATGTTAGCAGACCAAAAGAACTAAAGTATCGCTGGATAGCCCCATTAATGGACTATCATATGACATCTGAATGATACGATTTAAATGGCTAGAAAATAAATTATGGTACACCAAAAATCTAGTATTTTCCGTTTTGGAGCATTTTGAGACGCCATTTTCTCGAAAACGAAAACTACGATTTTTCTTAAGCTTCTTTTACTCAGAGTCCTATTGGTGGACTATGGCGTGAGTCCAAAAATAAAAGCATTGAAATAATATAAGTGGTCCAAAAAGAGCCTCAATCTTGGAAAAAAGTTGAAAAATCCTTAAATTACTGAAAATGCTCTTCTATTTTTTTTTTGTTTGGAAAACAGCTGAATGGATTTTTCTGAAACTTCTTGTACATAAGGTTAGGTAACCAAACAACTTGTTAAAACTATCCCGACAATGATCCAATAACCGGAAGTAGTCGAAAAAATATCCGATATTTTGAGAAAAAAATCATAAAAAAATGGAGTTCTTGCGAAAAAAGTGATTACTACGTAAGATTTATCGAATCAAATCAACTAAAGTGTCATTGGAAAGTTCGAACAATGGACGATCTTGTGACATCTAAATGGTAAAAATTCGCGCCTGAGACAATATATAATGGAACGCTGAAAATCTATTATTTTCCTTTTTGGAGCCTATTCAGACGTTTTTATTTCGAAATCTTCTCTTATTTCCTTTTCAAAACTTCTGTTACTTAGAGTCCTAACGGTGGTCTATGGTGTGAATCCAAATTTAAAAGCGTCAATATAGTATAAATGGTCCAAAAGGGCCACAATCTTTGAAAAAAGTCGAAAAATCGTTATATCTGTAAATCTGCTTCTAATGGTATAAGGGAGGTAAAACTGTTCAATGGATCTTTCTGAAACTTCTGGTAGGGAAGTTAAATTCCCATACCACTTGTTAAATCTATCCTGATAATGATCCGTAAATACGGATAAGATTTATCGAATCAAATCAACTAAAGTGTCATTGGAAAGTTCGAACAATGGACGATCTTGTGACGTCTAAATGGTAAAAATTCGCGGGTTAGGCAATATATAATGAAACGCTGAAAATCTATTATTTTCCTTTTTGGACCCTATTCAGACGCTTTTATCTCGAAAACATCTCTTATTTCCTTTCTTATACTTCTGTTACTTAGAGTCCTAACGGTGGTCTATGGTGTGATTCCAAATATAAAAGCCTCAATATAGTATAAATGGTCCAAAAGGGCCACAGTCTTTGAAAAAGTCGAAAAATCGTTATATCTGTAAATCTGCTTCTAATTGTATAAGGGAGGTAAAACTGTCCAATGGATCTTTCTGAAACTTCTGGTTCAGAAAGTTAAGTTCCCATACCACTTGTTAAATCTATCCCGATAATGATCCGTAAACAGGAAGTAGTCCAAAAATTATTCGATATTTTTTTTTAAAAAAAAGACAGTAAAAATTCGGTGCTCTTGCAACAATCGGGATTTCACCGTCGGGTGTGACCGGATCAAAACATCTAAAGTATCGTTTGGTAGCTCGATAAATGGGCTATTGTATGAAACACTCCCTGCCGGATTCCTGAAAGCCGGTTCAGTGCTGCTTGCAGGTCTAGTTATTATTATTATTATTATTATTATTATTTACCGCGGGAGCCTTTTTCTCCATGATCGAAAACAGATATCGATCTGAGGTTCAATTTTCTCTCGGGAAACCATGTGGTGGTTACTCGAAAAAGTATTTTTGAAACTTCTGCGCAGACCGGAAGTGGCCGAATTTTGAACGGCAGCAATAAATCAAAAATCGGCCGTGGTTTCGCCAATTCTTTACCTATTTTAAAACATTTCACATTTTTGGAAACCCAGAATCTTTTCCGAGACAATGGCTATCTCACATTTTTCAATTTCGAACATTAATCTATGCCGTTTCTGAAACTTATGGAACATGAAGTTATAGTCCAAAACCAACTGATAAAACTATTTCGACAAGAATCCTTCAACCGGAAGTGGTCGACAAAATGTCCGATATTTTGATGAAAACGCTAAAAAAAGGGTTCTTTTGGGAAAAACATGATTTCTTCACCCGATATCAACGGATTAAAGAAATTAAGGTATCGTTGGGTAGCCCGGGGATTCGACTGTCATATGGTACCCATTTCACACGGAACCTATGAGAGATCAGCAAAATATGACATTCTGAAAATCAGGTATTTTCTGATTTGGAGCGTTTTTGGACGCCTGTATCTCGAAAACTGCTCTAAGGATTTTTTTAAAACTTTCCCTATCGAGAGTCCCTCCGGTAGTCTTGTACATGTATCCATCCAGTAAGACATTGAAATTTCTGGAATAGGTAAAATTACGTACTAAAAATCGTGAAATTTTAGAAAATGCTCTATTTCTTTATTATTTAAAATAAAAATTACAAAAAAGTTACATATTCAGATAGCTGACGTAATTACGATTCTAACGATGTATAATATGTATTAAAATATTTAAATTTAATTTTCGATATATTGACATTTTTGCATTTTTGGCACTATTTAACATAAGATTTCCCAGGGGCATTTTATCTGATCAGACAATGTAATATATCATTACATAGCCCTGTGGCTATTTGATAAGCCAATCCGGTTATTAAAACTATCCCGACAATAATCTCCATACCGGAAGTATGCAAAAAATGAAGAAAAAAGGTTTAAAAAAATAGCGCACTTGCGAAAAACTTGATTTCTCCATCAGATGTTAGCAGACCAAAAGAACTAAAGTATCGCTGGATAGCCCCATTAATGGACTATCATATGACATCTGAATGATACGATTTAGATGGCTAGAAAATAAAATATGGTACACCAAAAATCTAGTGTTTTCCGTTTTGGAGCATTTTGAGGCGCCATTTTCTCGAGAACGAAAACTACGATTTTTCTTAAACTTCTTTTACTTAGAGTCCTATCGGTGGACTATGGCGAGAGTCCAAAAATAAATGCATTGAAATAATATAAGTGGTCCAAAAAGCGCCTCAATCTTGGAAAAAAGTTGAAAAATCCTTAAATTACTGAAAATGCTCTTCTATTTTTTCTTTCTTTGGAAAACAGCTGAATGGATTTTTCTGAAACTTCTTGTAGAGAAGGTAAG